GGCTGAGCTAACTTTTCTCTAAAAACTGTTCTATGTTTTCCTTGCCATAGAAAGCTGATTTGCATGTAACAAGTACTGATTGTTTGGCATCGCATAGAGGAAATTGCTTATTTTTTTCTATTTATGAGCATCTTGTGTTGCATAGCTTGTGATTTGGTAGGGTTCTTTGCAAGAAGAGTTAGAAAACAAAATAGAAGCTGCGGATACCTTAGTAGTTATTTTCTTAATCATTTTCTTTTTCATTTGTTTTTGGATATGTGCTATCTGCATCTATTTCAAATTCTTTTGCCTTGAGTTGCTCACCAAGGTTTTTACTAATTTGTTTTTGTTCTTAATATTTTACCACGTCTTTGCCTAAAATTCTGTCACCATAATTGAGTTAAGCAAGATGGATTTCATGGAGTAACAAATATTTTGGGAGTTTGACCGAGAAGAAGCATATGCCTTCATAAAAGACTTATTAGAAAAAATTATATGGTATATAGATAATGGTTACTATTTCAAATGAGTGGTACTGTATATGAATAACTATTAATGAAATTTTTATGTTAATTGTTTTGAAGACTTTAGAATGTGAATTTAATTATTCTTATTTTATATTATATTTTTCCATTTTGTAATCCAAGCTACAAAGATTGTAGTTTTTTATTTAAATTTTTTATGAATTATTTTGATAAATTTGACTTATTTATATTTTTTTTCTTTGTAATTTATGATTTTTTAATGTGCAATTTATTTAACTTATTTATGAATTTATGTATTATATAATTATAATATCTTTGGTAGTTAAATAAGTTAATTATTTTTATAAATTAATATATATATTTTTTAAAGGCATTTTATCCAATAAATTTGGGTAAATGAATGAAAGTTTTTATATATTTTAAACTTAGGGGTATTTTTATTTATATGAAAAATTTGTTAAAGTTATCTTGTGTAATCTTATAGAGTTCCAAATATAAGATGTGATAAATTTTTTATATAATCCAAATAAGTGACAAACATATGATGGGACTTATATTATCATTTTCAATCTAGTCTTATCTTGTCCCATTGTGTTTATCTTATCCAGCCATATCCTAATTTGCATTCCAAACATGCTGTGAAGTCCTAAACTTGCATGAGCTTCTTAACAAGAAAATTGAAATTAAGCCTATGTTTGGAAAAAAATTAGTAAGGGGAAAAAAAGGGAGGGGAGGGGAAGGAAAAGGAGCAGTGGAAGAAAGAAAAGAGTTAATATTAGTTTTGTTTGGATAGATAAAAATAAAGGAATGAAAAGAATAATATTTTTATATAAGTAAATAATTTAATAAAAAATAAAATAAAGAATAATAAAATTTTTTAAATTTACTAATTAAATAAATAATTAAAATAAAACATTTATATATGTTTATTTTTTAAAAAAAAGTAAATATACAAAGATATTCATTACAATTTCTCCAAATTAGAAGAAAAGAAATAAGAGTAAATTAGAAGAATGGAAATAAGAGTAAAGGAGGTTTCATCTCACTCCTATTAAAATAAGTAATCTAAATGTGAGAAAGAGGAATTTCTTCCTCACTTTTCTTTCCTTTTCCTTCAACTCTCCTAATTTAAACACAAAACTAAATTTAAGAATTGGCTTTAATCCAATAATTTATTATTTATCATTAAGCACAATTTAACTAGCAAAGTTAGAAACTCTTTCAAGATCCAATCTAGAAAAGAAGCATTTCATAAATCATGAAATCATGCATTTTTTAATTTTTTATGTATTTTTTTT